TCGCACTCTTTTTCTTAAAACACACACCATCACTCACTTTGCACACGCGGTTGTACAATCACACACAAATCACCAAACAAATTTTATCTTGAGCATACTAAAATAAAAGAACTATTACTTTTTACAGTATATTCCTTATAAAACAAACCAACTACAAGTTCACGCACACACTGATAAGCACTATTTATATATTTCTTTTATAGATTAATTCTCATAATAAATTAGTTTTATTTATTTAACATTATACTTATTTTAAACTTTAATTTATATTTTGTATTAATATATTAATTATTTGAATAATTAAGCTTAAATGTTATTTTGGACCTTTAGGAATATACATTAGAGATGGGCTAGGTGGATCAAAATGGGCTCTTTACTAACTTAACATGGGGATTTTATGGGGATCTAATGTTTATCAAAATAGCAAAGAGAGGTTTGGTTCATTTGGTCTTTATTTTGAGTTAGTTCATTCAATCATGCTCCTTTAAGTTTTTAAGGCTTTTTGAACTACTTTTCCAAATATTTCCTACCCTTTACCTTAAGCCTCATTACAACCTTGGAAAAAGTCCTTATGATTTGATCGTGCATGTTATCTTGTAGTGGAGAATGAGAAGATATGCAAGCTTATGGTAGAGCATTTCTATATGAATTGATTTGAGTGAAATATACACACCCTTCAAACACTTATGCGATATGAGTGATATTCCCGTAAGGGCTTGATTATTTAGTTTACTTCATTTTCAAATAAACGGCTAGCTAATTATTGATATTGTGTTTGAGACTAATGTTCATGAAATGTTATGAGTTTTTACATATTTATATTTTTCTTGAATAATGTCTTTGCTTGAGGACAAACAAACGATTAGTGTGGGGAATTTTGATAAGCACTATTTTTATATATTTTTATAGATTAATTCTCATAATAAATTAGTTTTATTTATTTAACATTATACTTATTTTAAACTTTAATTTATATTCTGTATTTATATATTAATTATTTGAATAATTAAGTTTAAATGTTATTTTGGGCCTTTAGGAATATACATCAGAGATGGGCTAGGTGGATCAAAATGGGCTCTTTACTAACTTAACATAATTTGATACAATATAGTTTATTTGTTTATTTTATTTATTAAAGCCCAAGATCAAATTAAACAATCATTTTTATGTTCGTTTTCCTTTGCAGCTCTGTACGTGAGATTGTCGCAGGAACCGCAGCAACAGAAAGAAATCAAAATAGCGACTCCTTCTGCGACTGAGAGGATGAGCGGCTTTTACGAACTATCGCGAAGTAGACTAAGTCGAGTACTGCGAAGGTAGCGACTTCTGCGACGAAGATTCCGTCTGCGCGCTCTGTCCGTGTGAACTGCTTGAAGGATGTGGTTTCGGCAACTCTGTAGGCTGCTGCGATGAAGATTTCGTCCGCAATTTTACCAAGTGAAGCAGAGGTTTGAGCTTGTTCTACTAATTTTTTGTGGTTTCTTAGCATTTAGGAAAATAAATATTATTTATTTTCTAGATTTTGTGTGGTTGAGTAGATGAATTTAATTTGTGAATGTTAGGAAAATTAGAGTTGTTTTTAGGAGCCTGAACTATTATAAATAGGGCTGGATTTTTCAGTAGAGTCATAAACATTTTGGTTACGAGTGTAAAAAAATTCACAGCCCCCACACTTATAGTATACTACCGCCATACCACATCTACGCACACAATACCGGAAAAAATACTTACCAGTCCACAAAACTTTTATTTTAAAACTAAAACAATTAAAAACAAACCTTTAATAACAATGGTATGTCAAGGTCTAGTTACGTTATTGCACACGATGTTGCACATTCAAATAAACGCCTAATAAAACATTATATCAGCACAGTAGTGCTCTCTAACACACACATTCAGCAACATGCACACGCTTATATGTTATAACGCACACACCGTAAAAAATGACCTTAAAAACAGTACAAAAGCACATACCTATGTCTGAAATGTTGTGGATTACAACTGAGTGTACTCACGTTATTACTTCATCAGCCATCTATTCAAATTAATACATGTGATTTCCATTAATATGATCTCACATATCATGCTAAAGATCACACTTTAATTCTAACCATAATTAATCATTATACTACAATGACTATTTAATCCTTCTCTTTTAAAAATGTCCTTAATTAGATTATATTTCTCTTTCAATCTCAACCATCAATTGAAAATGTTTTAATGAGTGTGATGAGATCTCATGATCTCATTTAACATAGGGGTCTCATTGGATCCAATATATATATATATATATATATATATATATATATATATATATATATATATATATACAGTGAAAGGTTCTCGTGCTTTCCGTGCGGTTGTGCAGTTGATTAATGTGCGTGAGATTTGTACTCAATGTGCGTGAGTGTTGTGTTTAATGTGCATGAGATTTGTACTTAATGTACGTGAATGTGTAAAATGTAGCAGAAAATATGGATGTCAGCTTCTTCTCCATCCCCAGTAGCCATTGCCCCCTCCCTGATGATGATGATGCAGAGGCGAGCTATGGTGGTTAAGAATTATGGGAATAATACAACAGAAATCCACACTTAGCTGGTGTGCAAATTTTGTTGTGCGTGCGTCATCTATATAAACATTCAACTGCACTGAAGGTAGCTGATAATCTAGAATCCATGGCCAAATTGAAGGAAGAAGTAACAAGAAGCTTGGGCGTTAATGTGCGTGAGTTTTCTGTTCTGCTTCCTTCTGAGCTCGTAATTCTGAACTACTCACGCACATTAAGCACAAATCTCACGCATATTAAGCACAATACTCAGACACATTAAGTACAAAACTCACGCATATTAACATTACGCACATTAAGTACAAATCTCAGACACATTAAGCACAACACTAACGCACATTAAGTATAAACCTCACGCACATTAATCCACCGCACGAGAAGCCACAAATGCACATGATCCCTTCCCTATATATATATATATATATATATATATATATATATATATATATATATATATATATATATATATATATATATATATATATATATATATATATATATATATATATTCGTGTGGATATATATATATATTATTTTGTGAATTTTGTGATTAAATCGACTTGGTTCAGTTTTTTTTCCTACAGAGTCAATACACACTAGTTTAATTATACCAATGCTGAAGTACTATTTTAATTAAACGTCATGTTAGTTTGTTATGTTATTTTAATTAATGTGCTTTGAATTTTAGTTTCATTTTTCACACACATTAGTTTCATTATAACAATACTAAAATATTATTTTAATTATATTACAGTTTTATTTGACAATATACATTATTGAGACGGAGAGATTGATATATTGTAAGCTCGAAACAGATAATGGGTGAATGAGATATTGATTCTCAAAGTAAACGAGTTAAAAAAATGAAGGGAAAAATAATGAGCTTTTATCCCACATTGAATTGGGAAGTGGATTTGCACCACTATTTATACAAGAGTCTTTATACGGCTTATTGAATTGTATAACATAGATGCTCTCTCTCTCTCGCAGGAGGCTTGAAAAGACTTGATTCGTGTACGTAAACACAAAAATTGTTTAGACCGAGGGAGATTTGCTACCATATAATGTGGTAACATTTTTATTACAATTTTAAATAGGTCATCACAAGATCAAAGTATCAAACTTGTAAAAATTATTAAGAAAGTAATTAATATATACTATTTAATATAGAATCTTGCATATAATATGATGTTTCAGTAAGATACGTAAAAAATAGTACCTATGAATCTATGATTAAACAAAGTTGTTTCTCTCTAGGGCTCCTAGGGTTTTCTCTTATTCTCTAGGGTTTCTAGGGTTTTTCGGCTCAATTTTGCTCCTTTTCCCAGCGAACGCCGGCGTTTCCAGCGGTGATGGAGGATCAGAATAGTGAACAGGCAGCAGCAGTTCAGTCGACAAAGGTGGTGGAGGGACTTACGGCGAGATGGGCGGGTATGGCGTTGGAGGAGGATGGGGACGAATTCGTCCCGGAGGGTGACGGTGTTGGGGAGGTGGCGGTTGATGGGGAGGCGTCATGGGCTGTCGTGGGGCGATTCCTAACGGCCAAAGTTGTCAAGCTTGAGTATATGCGGAATGTGATGGCGTCCGTTTGGCAGCCGGTCAGAGGTGTTCAGGTAACCGAAGTTCAACCGGGGCTATTCTTATTCGTATTCTATCATGCCACAGATGTAGCGTATGTTTTGGATGGGGGACCATGGGCTTTCGAGAATAATACACTGGTTTGCCGTGAGGTTGAGGGGGGGATGAACCCGTGTGATGTTCCTCTCGATACGGTGGACATGTGGGTTCAGCTGCATGGATTACCAATGGGCTATACGTCGCAAAGTGTTCTTGAGCAGGCCGGCAAGTTCATTGGTACTTTCGTCAAACATGATGTTGTCGGGGCTCCCTGGTTAACCTTTTATCGGATTCGGGTCTCGATTGCGGTAGGCAGGCCATTGAGGAGGGGTATGAAGCTGGTTAAGAGGGATAAGACTTCGTGCTGGGTTTCCTTTAAGTACGAACGACTTCACAAGTTTTGTTTCTTTTGTGGGCTAATGGGACATGTACACACTTTTTGCTTGAAAGCACGGGAAAGCCGGACTCCAGAGAGTGAATTTCTGTACGGTGCCGAGTTGAGGGCGGGGGGTGGAAGGGGTGCCGCAAGAGGGGTGGGTGGGAGCTGGCTTATTCCAGTAGGGGGGAAGCCGTTGCCAATACCGGGGAACCGGCCGGACAGTGAGGAGGGAGGTGGGGGAATGACGGCGGAAGGCAGTGGTGAGGGTGAGGGTTCGGGAGGTGTGGTGTCGGGTGGAGGGGCTGTGGTGGCAACCGGGAAGCGCCGCAAGGAGGGACAGCAAAGGTGTGAGGGGAGGGAGGATGAGGATGTGACAATGAATGATGTTTCAAAAAACTTGTGTATGGCGGGAGCTGCGTCTCAGCCCCGCCCGTCCTCATGAGTACGCTGAGCTGGAACTGTCGTGGCTTGGGTAATCCACGAACAGTTCGACAGGTGGTGGACATTGTGTCCCGAAAGAAGCCTGAATTTGTATTTCTGATGGAGACTATGGTGGCACGGATACATGCAGAAAGGCTCCGTGTCACGATTGGATATGAGGGTTTGTTCTATGTGGATAATGACGGGAGGAGTGGTGGTATGGCGTTGTTCTGGAGGAAGAATAATTCGGCATCTTTGTTGGGTTATTCTAAGAATTTTGTGGACGTGGAAGTAAAGACTCAGAATGGTAAACTGTGGCGGATGACATGTTTCTATGGGCATTCGGATCGTAGTAGGAGGTGGGAGTCCTGGAGTTTGCTGGAGAGTTTGAAGCCTAAATCTGTTCTACCCTGGGTGGTCATAGGGGATTTTAATAATCTTCTATTCCAGTATGAGAAAAGAGGAGGGAATCGATACCCGAATCACCTCTTACGAGGCTTTGGGGAGACCCTAGATGTTTGTGGCTTGATACAGTTGCCTATGAGAGGCCATCAGTATACCTGGGAGAAAAGTAGAGGGACGGACAATTGGATTGAGGAGAGACTGGACAAAGTTTTAGCCACAGCTGACTGGTGTGGACTAAACAATCATGTGGACGTGGAGAACATCATAGCCCGACCTTCGGATCACTCGGCCCTCTTTCTTAGTATGGATGTGCCGAACATCCATGGGGGAAGACTTGCGAGGAGGTTTAGATTTGAGATGGCATGGCTTCAAGATGAGGGGTGTAGGGAGGTGGTGACTACGGCATGGCAGGGAGGGATGGGTTGAGGGGTTGCTGAATTGTCAGCAGCGGTGTGGGGAGAAGTTGATGAGGTGGGGTGGAGAGAATTTTCATAAGTTTGGAGAGCGTATTGGGCGGTTGAAAAAGATACATGAACTTATTAGGAATAGGAGGGACCCGACCGCGTTGGCCGAGTTTCACCGGATTGATGTGCTCTTAACCCAGCTGGAGGCGCAAGAGGATGTGTTCTGGAGACAGCGTGCGAAGCAGCACTGGCTTCGCGGTGCAGACGCGAATACGAGATTCTATCACAGGTATGCTTCTGCTCATAAAAAAAAGAATACTGTGAATAGAATTTTGAATAATGATGGTGTGTGGGTGGAGGGGAATGATATGTGCTCTGTTATCCTTGACTATTTTAGACAAATTTTTACAACTGAGAGTACTGTTTTTGATGATGCTATGATTGAAAATTTTATCCCGCGAGTAACGCATGCTCAGAATGAATCTTTATTGCGTCCGTTTGGACGAGAAGATGGGCAAGGGGACCCTCTATCTCCCTATTTGTTTATTATTTGTGCAGAAGGGCTTTCCATGCTGTTACAGAAAGCACAGTTAGATGGGGCAATCCATGGCTGTAGTGTTGGTCCCAAAAAGAGGTAAGGTGAAAGTCTAGAGGGGGGGGGGGGGGGGGGGGGTGAATAGACTTTCAAACTTTTTGCACAATATAACAATTGGTAAGCCAGAGATAAACCAAAACTCTTAACTAGATTGTTAGAGTATGGTGCGCAGCGGAAATAAATAAACGATACGGTGTGTGTGTAGATCGTGTCAAGATTATTCTCGTGAGAAGCAAGCAAGAGCCGTAAGTAAAGAAAGCAGTAAAGAACACAAGGCAATTTATAGTGGTTCGCGAGGTGATGTAATCCTCCTACTCCACTTGCTCTTTTCTCCAAGAGCCAATTCACTATATCCACCACTTCTTGGTTCCAAGATACAATGAATTCCGTGATCTAGTGCTTTGATCACCAAGCCCACACTAATCACGCCCAGTGCCTCCAACACTGCTGCTTCGGGTTTCACGTCGCCGCGTTACTTTCCCAAGATTTCACAACTCCGCGTTACTTTCCCCCCGTCTTCTACGATCCGGTAGAAACGTATCTTCCGTGATCTGGTGCTTTGATCACTAAGCCCACACCAATCACGCCCAATGTCCTCCGACACTGCTGCTTCGGATCTCACAGCTCCGTGTGACAATCCAGGATTTCACAACTCCGTGCTACTTTCCTCCTTTCCCTTGTTTTGCTCCAAAACAAGTTTTGCCTTGATTCCAACTTTTGAGACTCTGTAGATGATCTTCGTTGATGCGCTGAGTCTCTTGAAGTTGATGAAGATTTTAACACTCTTGGATATTTCTTTTCTAAGCTCTGTATCACTCTGAGTGTTTATCTCACAAAAGATAGAACAATTTAAGCTCCTGAGATGGAAAGCTTTCTTTGAATTTTGTATGCTCTGTTTAGCTCTGTTCTTTGCTCTTTGCTTATTTTGCTTCTTTTACCCCTGCTTTCCAAAGCTTCAATCTTCATCTATTTATAGCTGGTAGTGAGAATATTTCCGTTGGAGAGAAACGTTCTCAGTTTTGAATTTCATCCAGCTGTATAGCCTTTTGTCAGAAGATAAGATAACGTTGCAGATATGTCAGAGATTTCAAGTTGAGCTTGAGGTTTTAGCAAAAATGGCGTCCCATGAATCTCCATCTGGTGTAGATCACGCCTCTTGGGATTTTTATCTTCAAAATATAATCTCCAATATAATCCCTTACTAGTTAGACTAGTATTTTTGCTTCTGCAACTTTTCTTCTGTACTTCGTGTGTCTGGGTCTGTAGACTGCTTCCAGACTTCATCTCTTCAATTGACTTGGGAAATCTCTTCCCTTGTGAAACTTCATCCCTTGCTATTTTGGGAAATGAAATCTCTATCCCTTGCTAGATTTGTCAATTGAAATCTTATCCCTTACTTGTTTTGGACTTGCAATCTCATCCCTTGCAATTTATATTGCCAATTGAATTGAAGCCTTGTAGATCTCATCCCTTCAAATTGAAATTGCCTTCCCTTCGAGATATCAATTTGAACTTCAATTTCGAACTTCAACTCTTCAGATGAAATTGCATCTCTATGTCAATTTCCGGTCAAATTGAAATTGCCTTCCCTTCGAGATATCAATTTGAACTTCAATTTCGAACTTCAACTCTTCAGATGAAATTGCATCTCTATGTCAATTTCCGGGATACCAATTTGAGAAACTTCATCCCTTCACTTGTAAACTTCATCCCTTAGTCAATTATGTCAATTTCCGGGATACCAATTTGAGAAACTTCATCCCTTCACTTGTAAACTTCATCCCTTAGTCAATTATGTCAATTTCCGGGATACCAATTTGAGAAACTTCATCCCTTCACTTGTAAACTTCATCCCTTAGTCAATTTGGAAATCTCCCTTCACTTGTAAACTTCATCAATTTGGAAATCTCATCCTCTTTGACTTTGCAAATTGCTTCCTTGGAAATCTCATCCCATAGTCAAATTGGAAATCTCATCCCTTCGGCCAAACCATCGCCTCTTACTTTAACTAATGGAATTAAACTTGGCTTCTTTAAAATATGTAGGATATGAGATTCAAACCTGTGACCTTGCACATAATATTTCAAGCTTCTACTATCTCGTCCGTACAACCTTTTAGTTATCTTCTTGTTTCACTTGGTGTACTCCTTTCTTTCCATAGATGCTTGATCTTCAAGATAGCTTCATGCAAACTTCAAGTCACGTTCTTTCTTCTTCAGAATTTCTTGAGGGATTTCTTCTTGAATATCATACGCATACATCTTCCTCTTTTGTTTGCCATTTTCACTAGGCAAATTCTTGATTTTTGGCTTTATATCTTCTTCATCCATTTCCTCAACTAATGAATTTATTTTTCCCTTTCTTGGTCTATGACTCGACTAGTCTAATAAAAATAAAATTGGGGATCTACGAATTACAATATGGCTTATCAAAATCTATTACAATTTATTCCTAACAATTTCCCCCCTTTTGATAATGTCATAACCTATACTCAAACATTGGCTTTAAGTCTTTGAAAAATATTTTCATTTTTGCTCAATTTTATTTTGACAAAGCCAAGATGAATTTGACAAAAATAATTCTAGGGAAATCGAAAACTTTGTGAATTAATTTAGACAAGTCCTATACGCATCCTTGATTAATTTTTTTAATCAATTTTTATCTTTTCAAATCTTTGCATGCGTTTGACAATTCTTGTCCTTTTAATTCACGAACTAATACATGACAGCCAAAATAGATCAAAACAGACTTAGATCAGACCATGGGAAATATTTATTCATATTAGTCGATTAGAGGAAATATTATTGTAGCCAAAATCATAGAAATTCAAAACATCATATTCTTGAGGAATTTATGCTTGATTACCTTCTGGGTTTCTTGACTCCCATGTCAGCTTTCAATATATCCTTGATATGTTCTCTCATCTTGCAGATATCATTCTTGAATTTTTCACATTCAAATCTCTTGGTCACATTCCCAGCCATGTAGTGTCCAAAGGCCTCTTTAATATTGGTGCCCGGAAGAGCTCCGGCTTCCTACCAAATTATGTATTCTTCAAAGTTTCTTTGGAGTCCCAAACTTTCACCATTATTGTTGGTATAGTCTCTGAGCTCATACCACATCTCGGTTTGCTTCCTTTTTGCTTCTTTTTCCTTATATTTCTCAGAAATCCATTGAGCTTGATCAGCTTTGGGCCATCTTTTCACCATACTTGGCACATTCTCGGATGTCCAAATTTTCTGTGGTGTTAAGGTTCCTTTTGAGCATTCGAGCCATCCTCGAGTTTCGGCCACTTTCGATGAGCTTGATCCAAGACTCGGATTTGCAAATTGAGCGAAACCAACTTGGGATTGTTGACCACGTCCTCGGCCTCGGCCTTTTGTTGGTGCGGCGGTCAAAACTGGCTGTTGCGGTTGACTTCCAATGATGAATTCATGTTGTTGTAAAGCCAGATGATTGAGAATTTCTTCCCCCCTTATGGCATTATCAATCAAAAAGCCAAGGGATTTGGAATCTTGTTCTTGATTGGCTTTAACAATCTTAACTCCATCATGTGTTTTGAGAGAAACATCCTGCAAATAAGATATTTTGTTAGCCATAGAGGATAATTCTACCTCAAGGTGATTTATCCTTGTCTCCTGGTCTTGTATGGCTTATATTTGTCTCATGTGTCTTTCATTGTTGATCTTCTCTGTAGCTTCCCGTTCCTTCTTCATAAGTTGGATTATCTCCAATAATCCTTCGGTGAGATCTCCTTTTAGATGTCTTTCGGCTCTGTCTATCTTTGTTTGCAGCGCGTTTTGATGTTCCAATAGCTCCTTCAAACTTGTTCGTGTGTCCTCAAAGTGTTGCAAAGAGAGATGTCCTTGCTCAGTAAGAGTTGTTCCAATCTTTTGACACACAACATCACTTGATTCTGTAACTTTTGCAAATAGTGATGTTAACAAATCATCTTCATCTTCTTCTCGGGTTCGTCTTCTACTCATGTTCAGAGAGTGTAGACTTTTGAACAAATTCCTTCATGGATCACCAAGAACTGGATTTTCAACAAGCTGCAAATTTTCTTCTGGTGATTCGGCTTCTTCAAGATGATTTTCAATTTCTTCTTCAATAACCTCTGTTCTTGAAATAACCTCTGTATTTAAATTGGCTTCCAGAGAGGTGTTTTGAAGTGACATCATAGAGGTGTTATTGTGCACTGGCGTTTCATATAAGTATTCCCCCCCCCCCCCCCCAATTGATGGTCTGATTTCACCATCAATTTGGTCTCTTAATTCATCCCTTGTAGGGTCCATTTTTTGACTTTTGACCATATGACGTGATGAGGAAGATTGTTCATTTTTTGTGCTTTTTAATGGGGTAGGAAATACGATTTGTTCCAAACACAGCCAACCCAACATTTTTTTATTTATTACTCCTTTAATCAG